AGACCTTTCTTCCCCAGCCTTGCCATGCCATGCCCTTTCTCTTCTCTTCTCCTCTGGCGAGTGGCGACTAACGACCCGCGACAGTAGAGATCAACGAGGCGACCGGCGAAAGGTCTAGCCGATTCATGCAACGCTCTGCAGCTCCTCTTCTCCTCTGCGAGTGGAGAGTGGCGACTAGAGACCCACGAGGCCATGATTGGAGAGATCAATTAGGGACTGCTTTTGATTTGGCTTTGAGCGCGGGGGGGGGGGGGGGGGGGGGGGGGGGGGGGGGTGTGAGATTGGGTTTGCGATCGGTTGCAGTTTGGTGAGTATATGTGTGGGTGAGAGAGAGAGAGAGAGAGAGAGAGAGAGAGAGAGAGAGTGGAAGATGGGGAAAGGGTGCACGGGGAGGAGTAACCGAGGAAGTTATTAAATGATAGGGAGGTTTTTATAAAAAATAATTATTGTTTAAATTTTCTTTTTTTAATTAATTTGCTAATTAGCTGTATTTATTGTCCGTTATATTCTGATACATTTGGTATTACTACGAGATGGTACTCTAATCTTGCCAGCACGGTTTTTTTATAAAAAATTTATTATTATAAACCTGGTATTTATCGATACGAAACGATTGAACCACGATCGTACCACAAAATACCCTACCATAAAGAAATCTGGTATGATGTACGATACGGTTTCTTGAACCATGGTGAGAACGCCCCTCTCTTCCTGCGGAAATGGGTTCCAGGTATTCAATCGCTTAAGATGGATTGATCTAGGTTGCCGATTTGGGTTCGCATCCGAGAGCTGCCATTGGTATATATGATGGTGGAGGGTTTGAGTAGGGTGGCTAGCCTTTTAGGTAGGCCGCTGTGGATGGATAAGTTGGGTACTCAAATGGGTACTGCTAAGCTTTGCATTGCTGGTTCTTTTTTCCCAACGGAGCTACAGATTCGTCCAGAAGGTGAGAAAGGTATTACCTTATTTGTTCACTATCTCCATTCTCCAAGCAGATGTGAGAAGTGTGCTGAGTTCCGGCATCAGATTGGTGAGGGGATATAATCTGGAATATCTGTGGTTGCTTGTGAGGAGGCTGCTCCAATTATTTCAGAGGGTGAGATTCCTGACTTGTCCCGTCCTACTTCTGGGAGTATTGTTTGTGAGGGTGTTCTGGATGGGGGATCTAGCACTCCACCAGTTACACAGGGTGTTGTGACTAGTCCTACTATCACTCCGCTAGCAGTTGTGATTGGAAAGGTGGTTGTGAATGTAGCTTCTACGTCCTCATCTCCTCATGTGGATGCAGATGGATTTCAGCTAGTTTTCAAGAAAGGTAAAGCTACAATGTAGGAAAATCGATCAAAGCAAGGTAGTGGGGTGAGGGTTGCAGAATCAGCTGTTCAAACTCGAGTGCCACTGAATTCGAAGGGGTATAATCTTGTTGTTCCTACCTCTCCAACGAAAGGGGGGTAAGAAGAAGAAGTAATGAAGTTTCTCTGTTGGAATCTTAGAGGGTTTAGTTACTCTGAGAAGCATAGGTATGTGAATAAAAAAGTTATAGAGTTAGGTATAGATTTCTGTGCATTATTAGAAACTAGAGTGTTGAAGAATAATGCTGATGAGATAGTCAGTAGACAATTTGGTAGTTGGGGGCATTTAAATAATTATAATTATTCCTATAATGGGAGAGTCTAGTCGTTTTGGAAACAAACATTACAAGTAGCTGAGATTGGTATGGGTAAGCATTTTATTCAGGTAAGAGTGCAGTCTGGTACAGAATCTTGTGTGGTCACTGCCATTTTAGGGCCTAACAAGATAGTTGAAAGAGTTGCTATGTATGCAGAGTTAAGGAAGTGTCTAGTGCTTAATGAGCCTGAAATTTTCATTAGTGACTTTAATGCAGTCATTAATGATTCAGAAGCTTCAAATAGACCTGTCTGGTGGCAGCTTTTGCCAACCATTGATTCAGTAAAGTGTGGGTGATTTTAGGCAATGGATCTCTGACATGAAGTTGAATGATCATAAAATGGTTGGATCTTGGTTTACCTGGTGGAACAAGCAGTCAAGCAATCCTATTGCTCGAAGGATTGATCGTGCTTTGGTGAATGATCAGTGGCTGTATACTTTTAAGAATATCTTGGTTAAAACTTTGCCCCCTGGAGAGTCTGATCACTGTGGCCTGTTAGTGCATACTGATCCTTTGGTTACCTCATTGCCGAAGCCTTTCAAGTTCTTTACATTCTGGAGGCATCATTCCACAGTATCAGAGTCTGTTAGAGGGCGTTTTTAAACATATCGTAGTATTCTCATATTTCTCAAAGGGCAAGGGAGGCTGAGACTAAACTTGAGATTCTTCAGCGAGTTGTGTTGGCTGATCCTTCTGAGCAACATTCTAAAGATGCTTTGGAGCAGGAAATTGTTTGCAGAAGCCTACAACAGGCTGAAGAGCAGTTTTACCGACAGAAGTCACGAATTAGAAGAGTTACTGAAGGGGATTCTAACACAAATTATTTTCATAGTATGGTCAAAGTTCGTAATCACAGACAAACTATTCAAAAGTTGATAAATGATGATGGAGAAGTTATTATAGAAGTGAAGGCGATGGGGCAGCTGGCTATAGATTTTTATGAGGGTTTGTTGGGTAGAGCTGATCCACTTGTGCAGGACATCCCTCTCTCTTTTTTCAATGACCTGCTCTCGCATAAGCTTGGTGTAGATGATGTGCAAGTCTTGAACTCTGTTATTATTAGGGAGGAAATTAAGAAAGTTTTCATGGCTATTGGAAACGATAAGGCTCCAGGGCTTGATGGCTATACTGCAGAGTTCTTTAAGCTTGACTGGGCTATTGTTGGCAGGGCGGTTGAGGTTCTTGATTTTTTCAGAACAAGAATAATGCCAAGGCATGTAAACTCTACCATACTTGCTCTCATTCCTAAGCTATCTGTAGTGGATAGAATGCCTATAGTGGATAGAATGCAGAACTTCATGCCAATTTCGTGTTGCAATGTTGTTTACAAAGGGATCTCAAAACTGTTAGCTCATAGACTTTCCCTAGTTCTCCCAAAACTCATAGGGAATAGTCAATCTGCTTTTGTAAGATGGAGACTCATTAGTGACAACATTCTTATGACAACAAAATTGGTTAAGGATTATAATAAAGCCAATATTTCATCTAGGTGTGTGTTGAAAATTGATTTGATGGAGGCATTTAATTCTGTGGATTGGAAGTTTCTTTTGAAAGTTATGAATGCTATGAACATACCTCTTAGTTTCATTAGGCTGATTGAGGCTTGTGTCACGTCTCCTATGGTGAGTGTCGCCTTCAATGGAGGACTTTGTGACTACTTTCCAGCAGGTAAAGGGTTGAGGCAAGCAGACCCTTTATCCCCCTACCTCTTCACAATTGCCATGGAGGTTTTCTCCTATATGCTAGCTAGAGATGTGCATTGTGATTTCATTCCACATCATCCTAGATGCAAAGGATTAGAATTAACACATCTTTGCTTTGCTGATGACCTTTTGGTTTTCTCCAGTGGTTTAATTAGAGCTGTTGCTGGGATTAAGAGGTTGCTAGACAGAATCTATCAAGTTTTTGGACTGAAATGTAATTTGGCTAAGTGTCAGTTATTTTGTGTTGGTATCTGTAAGGACGAACAGAAGTGGATCTCGGATTATACAGGGTTTCCATTGGGAGAACTGTCAGTCATGTATTTTGGGGTACCTCTTTTATCTGGGAAATTATTAGCTTAGGATTGTAGTATCTTGGTGGAGAGAATTACTAAACGAATCACATCCTAGCAAGCAAAAATGCTTAGTTATGCTAGGAGGTTGCAGTTAATATCTTCAGTAATAACTAGTGTTTTTCTATACAGGATGTATGTTTTCCTGCTGCCACTGAAGGTTCTAAAGTTGATAGAGGAAGTCTACAATAAATTTCTACTAGCTTTAAGGCCGGCCCATTGGCCGGATACGGTAGTAACAACCTAAGAAGTGCAGTTGGCAATCTAGTCTTTTATCATTTCTGTTCAAAGACAAATAACACTTTGATTGGGGTTTGCATAAATCGCAACTAAAGCTGGCAACGAACAATTTTAAATTAAAGTTATTTGCACGATTTCCTTATTAAAAGTGTTGGACGGAGATGAACATAATGAGCTTCTCTGGAAAGCAACAAAAGTGGGTAAAAATTTACCATTCTCTATGCTTCGCTTAGAGACCTCCTTCCAAGTTTAGGTAATTCAGATGTAATTCTAGAGAGATCACTCTCCAACGTTTGAAGCTCTACCAAATTTCAAGGAAAACACGCATAGGTGAGATTGAGTAATTGAGCCACAAAAGTGGACATCTTGAGGAAATTATGAATATTGATCCTACACATATATTTAGCAATTTCAGTTTTGCAAGTGTTCGTACTCAGATGTGACATTCATAAACTGAAGTGGCTCGTATTATACAATTTTTCTAAAACAAAAGAACTTGTGGCCGCTCCATACGCACAAATTAGATGTTATAAGAACATTATTAAATAGAAGATAAGCCATATAAATTGTTTATACATTAAAAGAAGGCTGAGATTTGAACAAAATTATTGGGGATGCATCTGTATCCATTTTCAACTTCAGTTTGTATGGGTGCAGAAAGAATTTGCACGTCAGTATCTTCTACGATATGTTCATATTTGTAGCTGCAACTAAACATGATTGAGTAAGCAATGCTGAAATGAAAAAGAAAAAAAAAATGATAGTAACGCATCCATTAAGACAAATTAGTAATTACACTCAAAATTTCAACATGCATCATTAGTGGTAAAATGGAATAGTATTCTCTCAACCCCACAGTACTCTGGGATGCAGAACATGAACTAACAATATCAACTTCAACCACCATAGCTTAAAATGAGCAGGAGGTTACACTTAGAAGTTGAAACATGGGAGCAAAATTGCATTATACACAACCGCAATGGTCAAAGAACTACACAATTATCGTAACTTTCACCCACCCCAAGTGCCATACATAACCTGTTAAATTTTGTTTTAATAATGCTCTTTGGCATGAGCATAAGTGAGCAAAAAACCAACTATTTTCCTAATCGACATAAAATCTCAACACAATTCTAACACACTCAGACCAACATGATATATAGATTATAAAGCAAAAAAACAAATCCTAGAATATTGAGTACATATGCTCATAATGGCAGAATAATACAACCACCATTCATTCATCCCAAAACTGGAAGCAGAAACCAGTGCCATGGTAGCATAGTTTGATACTCGATCATGTCAATTGTTTAAATAGTGATTAGATAATATAATCAAATTAGCTAGAGTTTCAAATATGAACAACACGAAACCAAAATAAATAGAGCAGCAAAAGGATAACTTAGCAATTAGAAATTTGATAAACGTGTATCAACTCTCACAAAAGCATTTACACCAATCATTGTCATCGCAACCTGCAGCCTAGGGCAAATGGATCTGAACCTATAAAATTGATGGACCCAGTATTCACTGACATGATACAATACGTCGTTTCTATCAGAGTAATTACCAATAAAAATACAATTAGCATACCATATCCCATTTGACACGTGGATGCAAGCTAGGCTAGTCATTACTCATGGACTTGCTCCCTATTGATTTCTTCTGTAAGTTTTACCCATTAACCCACACGGATAAAGGGAGAAAAGGTGAGTATCTTTGTCTTTATATTTTACTATCCATCCATGGTTGATTGGGTGCTAAATAAGCCTTCCACAATACAAAGTCTCCAGACTCCAATTCCCTCCACATGGATTTAAAAAGAGGAAAGGGTAGTGTCCTCAAACAACCACAACCTCTCATCTCCCTCTAATGCCACGTACACATGGGAGGGATTAAGGGTACACATACAACTCACCCAAATGGCCAACTCATTTTTACATGGAAAATGGAAATGTCTTTGTTTACCATCATCCACTTCACTCTTACACCTGGACGTGAAAAGCACAAGGTAAGTAAATGTGTGTTTCTTTCTTTACCCGCCATCCATTGCACATTAGGTTGGTTGTGAGATGAAAGAATTTTTTTTTATATTATTTTATTATTTACACGTCATCTACGTCAGAAGCAGGAGGCACCTATAAATATGATGCTCATTTATGCTTTCTGGGGAGTGGATTCTCGTTTTGAACTTCGAAAACTCTCTCTAGAGCCGGCTCAATACGCCGCTCCCGGTTACTCTCCTCTGAATACTTACTTGAGCTTCGGAGCAGGTCCCCGCCGACCACCGGCCGGCGGGTCCCTCTTTTGCAGGTGTCCATGTCGGAGGCTGGCGGCGGACGTTGGCCAGGAAGTCGGCGCTCACCGGACCTCAAACACATTGAAGCAGGCTCCTCGGAGCTTGGCATCAACAAAAATATACCCAATAGCGATGGAGTTGTCAAATGAAGTGCAACCTGAATTTTTAGCAAACTGGAACAGAAAACAAAAATTGAGAATTGTAAATAAATAAAGACGACAGTAAGAGAATAAGAGAAGTAAATACAAAATTGGAACCGATTTCCACTTAGATCCCAATCCAAACCCTATATTGCCAATGGAAAACAATTGCATCCCTTTGTCATAAGAAAGGTTGGGTTATCTTGTGGTAGATCATTTAAGTGTAATGTGACGCTCAAAGTAGCTGCACAATGAGGAAAAACCAGTTACAGTAGATGCAAAGGTACCTGTTACCACTCCAATATTCGTTTCACCAAGGAGAGGGAGTGGAGTTTACAGCGAGAGGCAAAAATAGACACAACGTATGTGGCCTGGACTCCGCAGCAACAACCATAAATTTGGCAGCCAAAGAGATCACCAAAAGGCTGAGAGTATTGAAGATGAGGCCAGAGCGTGCAGTTCCCGACTAAGAGCTAAATGAACAACTGGAATGGGAGTTCCCATTCACACCCTACATTAGGGGTGGGCATGTGGGTGGGTAATCCGCAGATTGATATCGATCCACCCGCAAATAACTCGATCCGCAAGCTGTGGATGATTGATGTGGGTGGATGCGGTTTGATAAATCTCCCACCCGCACTTATGTGGGTGGGGAGTGGGTGGATTGCAGGTCACCCGAATGATTCGCTTCCTATTTTCACATGAAAAAAGTTGTTTCTTATAGTATCGAATATTCATCATATTTCCAAACCACACTACAGTCTGACCATATACTTCTTAATGTGGAGAATAAATAATACTTTTGACTACTATTATTGGTTATTATGCTGTGTAATATCCATTTATTGGATATTAGAATGCTTAATATTGTTAATATCCATTATATATTGGGATGAAAACTATAAATTATTAATTGTATAAAAATCACAACATACGTAAGTTGTCTCTATATAATTGGTGGATAGAGTAGTAAAATGTTTTATGCAAATACTACATCGATTCACTAGAGAGAAAGTGATAAGTGTCTAAATTGATACAATCTTACTACTTTGCTATGAACTTATTATAAATGTTAGTCAACTTTCTAAATAGCTAGTTGGAGAATTATTTTTGCGGATTAACCCACGACCCAACCGCCCCCATCCAACCCGACCCGCATAAGAATGTGGGTGGATTGCGGGTCACAATTATTTCAACCCGCTAGTAAGCGGGTGGGTCAATTTGAGACGAAAATCCATCCAATCCGCCCATTGCCCACCCCTACCCTACATGCAGAATGAGAAGAAGTGGTAAGCCTATTTTTTAAATACCATTTGTTTTAATAGAGGCGACCATATGACTGTACTGTAAGACACAAATTAGCACCCATTATGTAATCCCACAATCAATGGAAGAGCAAATTTGAGAAGCACAATTGAACATTACAACCAGAAAAAGCATACAGCAATAACAAAACCAAATTACCTACCAACTCTGAGCTGCAATTCTAGAAATCAAAGAAGCTGAGGGTAAGAGAGAGTTTAAGATGGTAAATACCTGAAGTCGACTTTGCAACACAATATACAGATTGGATTTGGCTCTGTAGATGAGGGGCAGAGGGAATAGGTCTCATCTAAGAACTCCACAATAAGCTATAAAGGTTCTACTCTTTCACTATGGGAATAAATGCTATGGCTTAAGGAAGGACTTCCAACTCTCGATTGAGAACAAAAATGGATGGTGTGCGACGTCAATAAAGAAGCGGCTCCTCCTCGAATTGAAAGGTTAACAGCCCGTGAAATCCGTAACCACAGAAAGTCGGCCAATTGCACTCCAAATTCTGACCTGGTGAAGAGAATGGGGATATGTAAGCCCCGACGATTTTGAAACGCACACAGGGGTACACCCAAAACTTGAAGAACCCGGCATAAAAAACCCATGTAGGAATTCGTGGACAGCCAAAGCATATTGCCGATTAGGGAAGAGAAGATTTGATTTTCATTCTGTGGAAAAATAAGGTAAATTAATGGGAAGAAGAATACCTGGACATGAAAGCTCTCGTCGCCGCACAGAACTGTTATTCAGGTCGACTTCGGCAAAGATGCGGAAAGGAGAGAAGAAACTGGAGGGCGAGTGATAACTGATAAGTAGGGTTGAAAATGGGGAAAATGGAAAGAGGAGATGCGCAAGGCATAAGCTCTTCCGTAACCGGGTGTCCGGCTGCGAAAAAGAACGGCGAGAATTACTTAATTACCCTTACCGCAAATGAAGGAGATAGCAGGAAATTTGAATCCCAACAAATTACACAAAAGTGTACAATATATTAATGGTGGATGGGGTGTTGGTTCAGACACTCTGAGAAAACGAGCACCAGTAGCATGGTCAAGAGTTGCTTTGTTAAAACAAGAAGGGGGTTTGGGGATCAGGGATATTAAGACATGGAACAAAGCTTGCATTATTCGACATCTTTGGAACTTGCTTGGGGATTTTTCCAGAAATAGCACTGTTTAAAAAAAAATTTCCTAAAATAGCACCTAAATCCGAAAAATTCCAAAAATAGCACCCTTTTCCAAAAACCGCTCCCTACCAGTGCGGTTTAGGCGAAAACCGCCATCCAGGGGCGCGTTTTTCGATGAAAACCGCACCCCAGGGGGCGGTTTTGCAGACCGCACCCCCACCATGCGATTTGGTTGCAGATCGCACCCCCAGGGTGCGATCTGCTTTTTTTTTTTTTGTTAAAAAATCCTAACCTAGGTGGAAACTTCAAAAGGACGTATCTTTGTGTTCAGGTATCCAATCGTCGCAAATTTTTTTTTGATTCCGCATACCTTTATGAGATCTTGCAAGCCAAAGGTGGATTGGTCCCGCCTTCATCCCAAAAAATGTCGTTTGCTACCCCGAACGAGCTTTTTTCCGATTTCGTCAAACTTTGGACAACCATAACTTTGTGCTCCAAAATCCAAACAACATGAATTTTTTTTTATTTCTCATAACTTTTTAAGGACTACAACTTTTATCATAGACACAATTTCAAAATGTACGTGGATTGCTGAGAAGGGAAGGTAAGCTATTCCCAAAATCCTGTATATCCAAAAATAATTCCTGTTTTGAAAATTCATTATAGTAAAAATTGTAGTCCTTAAAAATTTATGCGAAATAAAAAAAAATTCATGTTGTTTGGATTTTGGAGCACAAAGTTATGGTTGTCCAAAGTTTGACGAAATCGGAAAAAAGCTCGTTCGGGGTAGCAAACGACATTTTTTAGGACGAAGGCAGGATCTAACCACCTTCGGCTTGCAAGATCTCAAAAAGTTATGCGGAATCAAAAAAAAATTCGCGACGATCGGATACCCGAACACAAAGATACGTCCGTTTGAAGTTTCAACCTAGGTTAGGATTTTTCAAAAAAAAAAAAAAAGCAGATCGCATGGTGAGGGTGCGGTCTGCCAAACCACCCCCTGGGGGTGCGGTTTTCATCGAAAAACGCGCCCCTGGGTGGCGGTTTTCGCTTAAACCGCACTGGTAGGGAGCGGTTTTTCAGAAAGGGTGCTATTTTTGGAATTTTTCGGAGTTGGGTGCTATTTTTGGAATTTTTTTTAAAAAAGTGCTATTTCTGGAAAAATCCCACTTGCTTGCTGAGGCAGGTCATTATGGGTTGCTTGCGTGCAGAAATACAGAATCAAAGGAAAGGACATTTGGACCCTTTCTGCCAGCTCAGTAAGTTCATGGGTGTGGAAGAAAGTTCTCAAGTGTAGAGTGCATGCTTAGTCTCACATTACGGGGCTGGTAACACTCTTGCTTGGGATGGAAATGTATTGCTTAAATACTATGTCAAAACGATCTGGTCTTTTATCAGAAACCCCTCTCCTCCTGTTGATTGGTATTTTGTTATATGGGGGAAACCTTTTATCTCAAAGCATAGTCTTCTATTATGGTTGATTATCCTTGATAGAGTTGTTACTAAGGATAAGCTTATCAGTTGGGGATTTTCCTATGATCACTGTTGTGTGCTTTGTACTGGAGGGGTTGAAAGCAGAGATCATCTGTTTAGTGCTTGTTCTTATTGTAATGCAGTGTTACAGATAGTGCTCAAGAAAATTTGCAAATGGCCCTTTTCCAGGATTGGCAGTCCCAGTTAAGCTGAGTGACTCAGAGGTGGTCGAGTATTGATTCGAAAGCAAAAGTTGGCAAGCTTTGTTGTGCATACATATGAAGAGAACGTTGTACTCGGATATATGGTGCTCGGGGCATTTCTGACCATTTCCAAGTCTCAGCCAAAGTAATGCAAGAGCTCCAAATTTATTCTAGTAGTATTGCCCTACAACAGATGGTTATAGGAGTTCTGGGATTATAGAGATGCAGTTTTTTTGTTTTGTTCCTCTTAGTATAGAATTGATTGAGATTGTAATGAGCTGATACTTTGAGAGGGAGGTTGTGAGTTGCACCTTCCCGGACTTCAATACTATTTTGATTAACCATAAAAAAACAACAAATAATGATTGTAAAATGTGGAAACTAAAATCCAAAAACTAATAAAAGAGTGTATAATAATTTTGGATGAAGAATGAAGTGACGCTGCTAAAACACTTACAATGTGTGATGAGTGCAACTGCTTATATTAACTAAATCAGAAATCATTTCACCCTAGCAATCAGTTCAATAACAAACTTATCATACAAATTCCACAAGAATATTAAACCCAAAGGCCAAAAGAAAATGAATGATAAATAATCACCGACTCACCGTAATCAATCATCTGTGTCGACAAATGATTATGAATAAAAAGTAGCCAACAACTTCTATATTCTACTAATCCTAAACAGCCTAAAATCCGTCCAAGCAAAGGAAAGGTACGATCGAGAATCCGACATCCCGTACAGCTTCCATTCCATTGGCTATCTGTGCGGCACAACGATCTCCGACATACATCTGGTTTGCTCGTTATTCGTTAGAGTGTATACAAGTTGGGAATGTAATTTTTGATGCATTTTGGATGGTTATGTGCAATTTGTAGTATAGGAATTAATGCAGTATTTTGGTCTTGGTATATAAAGTTGCACAGTGAACCAAAACTCTTCTTCGTTTTCTTCTCTATGAATCAAAGTTGGTAGTTTTTTCGCAGAGCTCTTTCTCTGAATCTGATGTGGTCGTTCTTGAAGTTTTCTTTCATTTTCTGTTCTTTTCTTTAGTTCGCAACTCTTTGATTTCAATGGCGGGTCAACAAGCATCTCTGATTAGACTCCCTCAAAACATATTCTGGAAACCCAAACCACAAAAATAAGTAACGAAATTTCAATCACAGGGTATTTCTTCGACCCTTATCTAAAAGGGAGATGATCATAATGGCTAATATAATCCGTCGTTCTTCCCTGTCAAAGCCTTCATATGCTCTCCTCTTGTTCATTCGTTGAAGTTTTCCTCGTCCAAGCCTTCGGATTAAATCCTTGGCCGTCGAAGTTTTCTTGTGGGAGATGGAGTGTCTGAGGGAGGGAGTGGAAGAGAAGAGAGAAAGATAGAAATCTATCGAACCTCTCTCTCTCAGCCCTGAACGTTTGAACAGATGCTCATGAAAATGGCTATGAGCACCATAACCGGTTGAATGAAACCAAGTCAACCTTTCAACCCATTAATTTTTAACTTCGGCCTGGTTGTGTGTTACACTTGCACACTTTGATCTGGTTCTGGTTTGAGTTTTTGTATCTTACGTTGATTTGAACCGCACATTTATTTCAGTTGCATCTAAACTAGTAAACTACAAAATTGAGTGTTGCGAGAAGCTACGGGACTCTGTTGCCATGTCGACGAATCCAGGAAAAAATAGAGCTTTAAGCAAGGTGCTGCTGTTGCCATGTCGACGGATTGAAAAATCATACTCACCTCACCTGACCCTAACTTCATTTCATGTCTAATATACAAAGACTATAGTGTAATATATGCTGCTGCTACAACTCTTACAATTACTGCACGGCCTACTAAAGGAGTTTGTGGCAGGTGCCGACCCCAACAGCTGCAGCAAGATGCCAACCAGCATGAAGAAATGGTGCCTGGGGGAACAGATCGTCGGCAATGAAGAGAGCACCTCCCAACAAGGAAGACATCTTATGCATGGTGTGTATGTTCCTTAACTCTGGATCTTCTAATGCTCTTTTAGCAAATGCCACCTGCAGAAGCAAATTACAGCACAAGGAAACCACACATTAAATGCCATTTGCATATGTAAGAAAACACATTAAAAGCCAATACGATTTTCATCCACCTCCATCATTCCTGTGTGGACTGCAGATACCATCAGCGGCTGGATAGGCAGTAATACTGCAGATGCTGCCATCAACAGCTTCGGGTTCTCATTTCTCAAGGCTCTTGATAGACACTGCATAACACAATGCTTTTTGTAAGTTTCCGACTTCCTCGAGCGAAGGAAGTTCACAGAAACTTCAGACCTATTTAAGGATTACAGCAAATGCTCAACTTACGAAGGAAGTTATGGAAACGAAAAAGGGAGGAAGGGGGATGAAATCCCAGCAACAGCTATGTACTATACTGATAGGTAATGGTTGTAGTTTCACGCCATGCTGAGCTGGATATTAAATTGATGACACACAAGTGAATATAACATTCAATTAGCCATTCTTTCCCCATTTCTTAAGCCCAACCCATATTTGTTTTTATAATCCACATGTTTCAATCTAGCATATGCATATTGCATAGTAGTCTTGTAACCAAAATTGTGTACATAGAATAATGCGGAATCCAAGCAATCTTATTACAAATTCAAATTTACAATCTGGGTTAAAAATTGCAGCAATCTATGCATTCGTATTTAAAAGAACTTCATGAAAACCCCACCAAAACAAGCACAAAGATGAGCCTATCCGATATATAACTAGTAGAAACTTGTAACAGAATATCCCACTGAAAACCTTCTCATGCGCAAGTATTTAATTGGTAGAAGAAACATGTTTTTCTCGACTCCACATCAGCTAATTCAACAGCTTATGATTATACAAACACAGGAAAGGCACAGTTAATTGAACTTACCACAGTGGTAGCTGCTATCATTGCATAGTCAAGCCACCTCAAGTACTTCCTAACTTCTCCCCTTGATGAGTGATACAAGCTTGATGTGATTCCAACCCCGATTAACGAGTTAGCATACAGTTTGGTATTTAGATCCTTTCTGCAAATGATAAGAGCAAGAAGAAATCAGACACTGAATATGCAACGAACTTCAATGATAAAAATGGAAACCGTGGACTATACTTCTACCTTGGAGCCTGCATACCAAGAGCAACAAATGGAAGTGATGTCAACACATTAGCAACCGTTTCTGAGAAGTTATCACCTAATGAAGCACAATGCAGCAGAGGTCATATCAAACAACTCCGCTAAGGATACCGAAAACTTCAAAAGGGCATTGCTCTTAAATAGATACCGTGAACGCAACACTTGATAGGCCGCAAACATCCTGGCCTTTGCTCCCATAATTTCCTGGTTGGTCACAAATAAAATCTCAATGATCCATCGACTATTTACAAACCTAGTCAACAGCAGAATGAAACCATTTTGTACATCTAATGTTCTGTTTGTTCTAAACATAATATCCAAGCTTACCAGAATAATGATGGCTGATCTGCTCTATTAGATGAACTTTCACAGTGCGATTGAGGGAACCCCTCTTGTCGAGTAATCACCTCCAAATGGAAAGGTGATTGTGGTACAACATGAATCCCATGTACACATTGCAAGGCTTTTCTAGAATTTGAAGTGTCATTGGGACTCATTAGACAATCTCTTTTTATTGCCAGCAAATTCTGCTGGCAATAAATTGGGAGAAAGGGAACAATATCTTGCTGGAAAGAAACAAAACATACGGTCAACTTTCTGGGAGAGGCAGGTATCCAAAGAATGTTCAACTATCAAAATTCAAAAAACACATTATATCACAGTGCAAAAAATAAGACAGAATTCAGCTTATAAAGCCAGATAACTTCTTTTCACCATTGGCCATCCATGAGAACCTAGAGGCCATTAGCAATTGGTGAGAACTCGCCACGTATTTGAGCGATAAGCTACCGAACCCATAACTACATTAAGCTTACCCTAACAAAAGAAGCAAACCCAGAAGTAATTTTGCTTGCATGTCCCAACTTTCAAGAACAACAAACAAATGGGAAAACCCCAAAAAAGTAACAAAATCAGATGAGAATCAAGCCTCTGACTCGAACAGGTTCCCACGCAAGACTACCAACATTTACTAAAAAAAGAAGAGGAACGACTGCAACTTTGCAAGAAAAAATTTTACATAAAGTAAATAACATAACAAGAACAATGCATTGCAAAGAAGAGTTACACGGGAAGCTCAGGAAATCAAATTGCTTCGAAGCGAAGCTGTGATAACTGGTCAGCATATTGAGAGGGAGGATGAAGAGGAGGAAGGATTTTTACCTGGGAATGAGCAAGAGTCGTGGTCTTGCCCTTGGAAGAGAGAAAATTACAAGTGAGGGGAATGCAGGATTAATATTTGAGGAGGACGGAGTGGAAAGTTGAGGAGTTCATGGTTTGGATTTTAGGGAAATTGTGACTTATGGTGGGGAGCACAAAAGAATATGAGAGGGGGAGATGCTTGGTGCTCTCGCAAAGACTTGTACGAATCTTCCTCCCAAGGCCAATCCCATCGAACTTTGGAGTCGGCCGAATATTCCAACCGCAATAGAGATACATAACGTAAAGTCTCCTCTTCTCAACATGGGCCTCTCTTACTCAACGACGTTCCATGGTCAGGGCCCAAAAAGAAAACGCTTCGAGGTTACCCAGCCGTTTAAATGGTAGGATATTTTGTGGTATGATTATGGTTCAATCATTTTATATTGGTAAAATAATATTTTTTTAGATAAAAAAATTGGGACATCCTACAGTAAGTTGGGTATAATTTCAAGTAAGATTACTTACATATATCTAAACCGCTAAAATCAATCAAACTTATTTTAAACCATTGATTAAAGAAATAAAAGAATTGGCAAAAGGGGTTCTGTAACGACATTAATACTCATTACGTAAAGAGATCTCCATTAAGTAAGGATTCTGTAATGACATTTTACAACTGTTATATAAAATGTACATTCATTACGTAAAGGTTACATAATGATAGTTATTTCTTACGTAACAGTTAAATCTGAAGTGTTACATAAGGCTTTCGCAATGACTTAGCACTTTACGTAACGTGAGGTTTATACTCATTACGTAAAAAGATCTTCCATTACGTAAAGGTTACGTAACGACAGTTATTTCTTACGTAATAGTTAAATCAGTAGCGTTACATAAGGCTTCCGTAATGACTTAACATTTTACGTAACGCGAGGTTAATACTCATTACGTAAAGACATAATCTATTATGTAAGGCTTCCGTAATGATCTTTTACAACTATTACATAAGATTACCATATGTTACGTAACCATTACGTAATCCCCTATTGTATTTTACGTTACGCGACCTGTGAAACCTGCTATAGCAGGTAAAAAAATTTAAGTTTCCTTACTTCAAGTTACCGTAGGAAATTCCAAAAAAAAAAATTCAAAAAATCACACCAACAGAATCAAGATACTGTTGACACCTAAAATTATTTTAGATTGAATTCAATGTCGCATTAATTAGTCTCGCATTTAATTCGATACCGAATGACAAAAAACAGTGTCGTTTGGAGTCGAGCAACATCGCGGAGAGTTTAAACGACACCGCAAGGAAGCTCGACAGCCCTGCGGTACTTGAAACGACATTGTTTAGTAGAAAACAATTTCGTGAGCTATGGTTCGGCTTTGCAATATTGGTGTTGAGATTGGAAAAGGAGTGATCTCTATTCCATACCGAAGAAGGAGAGGATTCGGCTTAGATTGCATGGGTGCGTGACCAACACCGGTGTGGAATTAGAAACGGTGTTGTTTAGTAAAATAAACAACACAGAGAAGTCAAACTTAAACGACACTATTGTACTATGAAACGACGTGAGCTATTGGGCACTTATGTACGTTGACAGGATGAGCGTTTAGTTATCCAAACTTGGTCATGTATATGTCACTTATTGAAAGTGTAGCGGATTAAAAGCAAGACAGTGTTTAGTGAAAACAATGTCGCGAGTTTGGTGAAATTGATGACTGGGGTTGGAGGGTCGAGCAATTCAATATCGCCGTGAAGTTGCAAGCTTGACGCGAAATCGAACAGTGTCATAGAATAGAGAACACCACTATTTAATGAAAAGCCACATTGAGTCTTGGTACGGGGTTGTGAATTCGACAAGGCCAATGGCGTCGTGGAAGGAGAATAAAAAATCATAGTGATTAATATTTGGACGACGTAGCGATGAAGCGGTGTCGTTTAGGTAAGAACGACATTGCGAGGCTGCGAGCTCAACAATGATGTGAGATCAACGATGATGCGAGTCTCGACGATGTTGTGTAGTCAACGACGTCCAGAGATCAACAATCTAGCAGTGAGTATGCGTTGGCGAGGGTGATACGACAATGTTGTTTAAATCTATGGCGGTCGTGATTCGAACAGTGGTACAAAGTTGATGTGTGTGCACGTGACTTTTACGCAAAGAATATTGGAGAACGAATGCGAAGCAGTTGAAGACTACAACTTCGGGAAGAGGATGGAGCACGTGGGAGTTCACGACGGAGCAGTTGAGGAAGCGGTTCCATGGAGCGTGAAGGCTATGCAAGTGATTTCAAATAAAATCACCAGAGCAAGGAGAGAGAAAGACAACCAGAAATCAGCACAAAAAACAACTCTGTTTCAACTTTACCTTTTCTCTGTAACTCCTTTGGGGAGCTCTCCTTCCAGAAAGGATCTCAATAGTTGTAGTTGTAGCGTAGTCGCGGAGCTCTCCACATGAATCTCCATAGGAGTAGCAGTAACGTAGATTCCCAAAAACTCAAACACCCTCGTTCGAAAATTGTTTTAAGAGGTGTGAACCGTAGTAACGGTCGCGTTGGTTAGAAGTCAGAGGTGCATCGATCAAATCAACATCGCCCCGCGGTGGATATTTGACGGTCGTCTTGATTTCAGCAGTCGGTGGTGCGTCCGACCAAACGACACTGCAAAGGTTTCCACATCGAAATAATCAAATCAACACCGCCCGAAACCATTTGGTACCGACGGTGGTATTTGGTTTTCCGGGGAAACAGATACAGTTCCAAAGTAATTGCAGAATAAAACTGGAATGTAACGGGAAACAAACCTGAATATGCTAAGACTTGCATTTGTAAGAAACTTAATTTAGCTTGCACATAGTCAAGCATTAGCCACTGGCCATGTAAAAACGTGGATGTTCCCTCTTGATAATTCAAAATCCAAGCACGGAGGCCCAGGTGGTGAGGGATAAATTGACTCGGTCGTTGCTGCAACGTCCGGTGAGTTTTGACCCTCTCATGCAAAAGATTCATCTAAACCCTGGTTCAAAGCGAGTCTCCATTAGCCAACTAGCCAATGAAACCTCCAAATGAGGAGTTCTAAGGCCCCAAGCAGACGAATTCTCCATTAAAGAAGAAAGAGGCAGAAGAAGACGTAGAACAGGATGAGAGAGAGTGCTCTTTAAATGAACCAATCAGATTGAAGGTCCCGGAAACCGCCATAGCTAGCTTAGAGTTGAGAACTCAACAAAAGGGAGGAGAAGGTAGAAGGAGAGTCTGTTTGCGGTTTTAGAGAAGAACGAGAGAGAAGGGAAGATGAATGAGGAAGGTGCCTAAGGATTGAAAATGCTAGGGTTTGCATCACATTTGGGTTTATATATCTCAATGTCAAAATTTCCTAGAATACTTGATGAAAATTACTTATTGCTAGAGTATCCCACCCTCACTGGTTGGTCGAACCAAAATCAGAAGGTATTTCGCGCTTTTCTGGTTTGGCCTTAAAAATCGACCGACACACTAAAGTGACGCATTCGGTTATACTGTTCCAGATGTGGCATGTTTCCAGTTTTTCGGTTTGACCAGCCGGTCTAGTACGGTATCACAATCCATGTGATGTTCAAGTATTTACTATTTGTCGGCTACACTTTTGAAAAAGGATTTTTTGCCTTTTTCTTATTTTAAAAATGCTGAACACAACCTGACTCTCTAATTCAACAACTGCTACCTTTCATATCCCAACCCCACAATGCTAACCCGTCGTAGAAAAAAGTCTAATTTACATGATAGGTAACCCATATCTTATTTTCTTTGGGCCTCTCACCTCTCCATATCAGTAAGGGACTTGCTCTGTGAGTTTAAAATGTATTGTTGAGGTTGAGATACCAATAAGGTTGAGGTTCTTATTGGTTCTTTGCTAAAAATGAAATTGATATGAAATGAGGGAAGAAACTAACTACATAACGAGGGAACAACATAAGGGTATTGCATTGACAAGTTTTCTCTAGAGTTTCTTTAGACTCGCTTTGCTATGATATTAGTTATACACATATGTGGTTGAGTAAATCCACAATGGATTCCTCCACTCATTATGCTCACGTTTCCTGCCTTTCTTACACGATGACCTAGTCTTGTGTTCCGCGCTAGATAGACACTTGGGAACATCGACATACATGTTGCTGTGTTACTCATGTAGTTAAGACCCCGTCCAATCCGTGTACAACATATGATGTACAAAATCATGAGAACTTCATTGTCTCAATTCATCCAACATAATTTCAACACAAAGTTATTGTAAACATAAAAGGATGATTCAAACAAGCATCCTATACATATAACTAGTGTGAATTAGGGGTGTAAGCTTGACCCGGAACACCCACTGACCTGTCCAGACTCGTTTCGTCCCTGAGGGTCGAGACGTGTCAGTTTGTCTACAAGGTCAAATTAGGGATGAGTCATTTGTTGACCCTGTAAGGGTCGGGACGGGTAGGGACAACAAAGGGACGGGTCACTTTTTGACCCGATGACCCTTAGCAACAACAAATATCTCATACCACATTGGACATCTTTGTAAAGTTTTAAAAATTTAGGTACTAAATTGTAAAAATAAAAAAAAATTGGGTACCAAAATGTAATTTTACCATAACAATTTATTGACTTATTTGTAAAAAAATAATTTTTAGGTACTAAATTGTAAGGAAAAAAATTGGCCACCAAAACGTAATTTGTAAAAAATTAGTGTGTTGATTAGCCCACTGACCCGACCCGTCCCAGCCCTTGAGGTTTAGACAGGGTCAAGAAGGAGACAGGGATGGGACAGGTCAGTTATACATCTTGACCCTTCAAGGACGGGTCAGATAGAGTCAGTGCAATTTTCATCCCTAGTGTGAATGCAAGCGTATAGCGCAAGTCTGGCATACGCTAGCCTTTCCATAAATGGTTCTAGCTAGCGTATACTATGTTCACACTAACGTACGCCCCTCAAATTTTACTATATAGACCAGGAATTAACTGGAGTTTGGGAATGATACTATATTGTAACCTCTCTTGGGTGAACCCCAGTCCCTAATTCTCTAACTTGAACCATAAAATTCATTTAATCGAAAAAAATAATTGACGGTTCTGATTCATCGAAATATATCAAAGTTCATGTAACAAGTGTGAATGCAGGCACATAGTTTATGTTTGGCGTCGCTAGCCTTTTTCATATATATATATATAATTGTCTCCAAAACTACTAGATATATATCATCAGAAGAGTAAGACTAAACTACCAACTCTATGA